TGTGGCTTGCCGAATGGTTCAGCACGTTAAACGCTATCGTATATAATTTATGTTTAGGAGCAACTCAAGCATAATAAATCCGATCCAATAACTCGCTCAGTTATCACGACGCGTATCACGTCTCTTCCCATTCTCACTTCCTCCTCCTGACTCTTAAATCACACGTCTTTTTTTCTTCTTTCTTTCCGTTTCTGTGATTTCTTCTCGCTCCAATCCTCTTCTCCGCACGTCTCTCGTTTTCTCTTCATCCTTCCCGGGAGTTTCCGTTTCGTTGACCGCGCGCTGGCTCTTTACCCACCTCTTTCTCCAACCTCTACCCCCGACATGCGCGCACGCATCACCGATTCAAGCTCGACATACACGTACGCATCCCCCTGTTTTCGTTCTCCGCGGAGCTGCGTAGCCAACATCAAACGTGCCGACAGCCACGACGTGCACCTGCCTCCGTCACGCGCGCGATAAACGGCTCGTTCCTTCCTACTCTTATCCTTCACGAGTATTCTCATTACCCCCACCCGACACTCTCGTTGGCAGCAACGTGTCTTGATAAGTCATCATTCTGCGTTCTATTTGCTCGTACGGAATCGTTCTACTGATTTTACGCAAAACACCCGATTGTGTTTCTTTATTTTTTATAAACCACGTCCGCTGAATATATCGTAAGATAAACATCTTTTTGAACCTTTTTTCTTTTGTTGTTATTTCACAGATGCGAGTTTTGCGTTTTGGCAGGCAAAAAGCGCGGACGATTGTAGTTACTCTGAATGTATGATTCGTTTATATCTCGTTTGTTTTAAATTCCTTATTTTGAAATAAACGATTTTACATTGCGCATCTAGCATTTAATTAGCCAGAAATTTGCGACAGAGCGAAGCATTAACGTAAAGATCGTGTTTTGTTATAACACTGCCGTTTGGTTCTACAACGCAAAGCCACGATTCTCTTTGCTAATGAACACGAGGGAGCCAAATTAAGAGCGTTTCTATATGTGCATATGCGGTTCAGTTCAGTTTTGTATTTCTACGTTAGTTCTACGGTAGCTGAAAAAGATACGAAAATGTCGAACAAAGACAGTTTTTTTTATTCATAATTAATTACATCAGTTTAATAAAAAAACACAGACATTCACACAGATTTATAACACATAAAACTCACTTACTCTAGAGTGCTCGTAAAATGTAAAATCGAGGCAAACGTGGAAAAATTTTCTCGAAGACCACCTGCGCGACTTATAAAAGTTATCGTGTTAAAACCGAGCGATATTTAAGACTGACGGGACATCGTTCACAATGGGATTGTAAAAGTGTTATTATCATCAATTTTCACCGCAGTAATAGCGCTCGCTCTAGCCGTGAGAATTAATGATAATAGTCGTGGCGTTTTCAAGCTGCTTTATACTAGGAGCCCGGCAACTCCAGTCAAAAATCTGTCTCACGAGTTTCGAATTTTGAGCTCACGCGGGATTCTCACTGATTCAGACGATCGCAAGTGTTGCTATCAGTTCTCCGCGATTGTGACGATTCGGCCGTAGAAAACGGGCGGCATCGCTGAAGCAACGAGGAGGCACGACAAACGAGAAAAAAGAGATAAACAAGAGGTAGGGCGCCGTGGAGGGGATGAAAGGAGCCGACTTGCCCTCCGAGACATTCTCCCCTCCTTATATTCCCCACGAGAGGCTCCCCCTCTTTCTTCGACTACTACACACCTGGTCGCGACTCCCTCATCATATTCTTGAGCCCGCTAGTGGTATCAAAACTTCTATAGGAATTGATTATGCGATTTTTTGTGTAGAATTGATTGTTTATATATAGAAAATTCACACTTTTATCATTTTTGGTTTTTTTGATCAGATAAACGCAAATATGTAATTGTATACTTCATGAATCTGAGTGAGCAAACCTGCCATTTGAATATGAAACAGGATTGCGAGTAGACGCCCTTCGAGAACATCCTCGGCACCTTTCGAGCACGAAGTCCGTTTCGACTCCGAATCGGCCTAAATTGGTATCGACCGGTTCGACGATGACTCACAAAAAGATTCCCGATGTCCACGGCTCTTGATCTTTTGCTTATCGTTAATTCGATACGATAATATTACGGCGACACGTTCTCGACCATAATAACGTTACGTTGGTCGCTTTGATCGTCGCTCTCTTCTGGATCTCATATATTCAATCGCCGATGTTTAAAAGGATACTGACTGTGAGAAAAAAAATACGAAAAAAAAAACGTTTGACATATTTGCATACGCATTTTACCTTTATCGGCCTATTATGCTCACATATTCATTTATTTATTTATGCACGATTCGACGGCACGCAAATGCAGATTGTCGTCGTCTCGCGCGCGGCGACGCGAGCAAGCCGTCCAGACGGAAACCAAATTTGGGTAAAACTGAAATTCAGATTCGGACAGTCGGTGAGATTTCACGTTAAGCCGCGGCAGAAATTCCACTGAAATTCTAATAAAGTGGGAAACGGTACGGCACCGAGAGAACGAAATACGCAACAGTGAGAGAGAAGTTAAGGAAGAGAAATTATTTATTTAGGATGTGGCGTGTTGAGTCAGTTAGGTTTATAAACCGTTACCTGATATTATTGTATTTTTATATTTAGTAGTCCCCATTTTTGCATAATATAATTTTATTCGCACACAACACGTAATAAATTTTTCCTCGATATCTTCGTAAACTCCACGAGGTCCGTTGTAGAAGTTCCGTGTGAGTCGAGGCTACACTAAAAATCGGTATAGTAAGTGGATATCAAAGAGAATATCGTGCAGCTTTCTCGCCGGTAGCAGGCGGCTTCTAGCTGCTAATGATCACAGTGTACCGTAACGTGCTACACGATTCTGACGATAAACTACAACACACCCGGCAGCACCCGCGGCTCCGCAAACCCGTTTTTCGAACGTGGACTTTTTCACGCTCCTCTTCATCCTCCTCTTCCATTATGTTTGGCTCTTTTCTCTTCGCTTGCTCGTAAGTATCAAACAATAAGTACTTGTTATTCGGTGAGCATGTGCCTCGTTATTAGACTACCGACTTTTCTAACAAACACATCCTATATATGTTTATATCAGATATGTACATACTTTTCATCTCGTTACATGTATCATAAATATAACGATTTTTGGTTGAGATATATATATATATATTACTTTTTTTAACAAATGTTAACAATCGCGTCGTCATCTATTAAGATTTAACAAATTTATATCAGAAGAACTTAATAATTTATATAAATAATTTAGTTTTATAAGAAGATAATTAAGCAAACCTCTTTATTGTTATTTGTAAAATTCCCGCTTATATTTTCTTCGCGACATTGACGACATCGTCACTCTCAGCTAGGTATGTTTTAAAGTAACATCGATTTTTCCCCGTTATAATGGCGACGAGAGTCAGTTTAGAAGTATGAAAGATCGCATCATCTCGAAGTCTCGGTCATTGTACATGTGTCGAAGCGCTTACTGTTCTATTCTCCGACCGGAAAATGTCCACCGTGGTAATCGCAAGTCGATTCTCATTGATTCGGTATGGCACTGAAGAAGGATCGCAGGTACTGCTGTCACGAAAAGCGCACCTGCTGGCATCGGCTTGCCTTTGTCGGCAACTTTTAAATCCTTCTTTCGTCGAACTTTGGTATTTCAAACGACATCCGGGACAAACAATGCAGACGATGACAATGTGCATCACGGATAGTGCAGGGGTTAGGTGCGCGCTCAGAAAACGCCGTTGCGCAGCACAAATTGCACGAATTAGACATTAATTACCTAGACATTAATTGCCGAGACGCGTTGGAAATGAATTGTGAAAAATGAAAAATGGAAATCAAACACACCTTAGGAAAGTAGCAAAGTGATGTATTTTAAGCTGAAAATTTTTACAAGCTAGCAGATTATCAAACATTTATCGGATACTTAACGCTCTTCTGGTAACGCTTCTCTCGTATAAAAAATTAAGTCGTACACATAATTTATATGTTCAAATAATTAATATCATCTTTTTTTGGTGTATCGCGTAAAACTGAATTTATTGAATTCTTCTGTTATTGTATCATACGAATCATCACATGGGAAAATAAGTGCATTAGCTTGATGTTTTTCCAATACTGTAAAATTGCGATGTTTGCATAGCCAAGAGAAATTGCAAATTTAAGCTTCAATTAGCACGAGAAGCAAACGAAAAAATCGGCAAATATGCATGAGATACATTCAATAGCAAACGTGCCATTTGTTAATTGAATATCCACGTTCGGCGTGCGCGATAAAGTAAACCATAAAAACGTTTAAACCGCAATTACGCGAGAAAAAGTCTCCAACAATATACACCGGCTCGGCAAATCCGAAATTTTCCATTATCGTATAATATTGCGCGCAAACATTATGCACTCACACAACCGTCAGCAATATCGCAAATAATTTCTCTCGGTAGTGATGAATGAATAATAAATTAATTGAAGACTTTATGCAGAATATGCACGCATAGAAAACATAACGTGACATTATAATCGAACTTATCACCGGCTGCGATTATTTCGATTATAAATAATCGAGTCAACTATCTCAGTCAAAAATCAAGTATTGAAACATAATTACGTTCGATTATCGTCGAGATAATAGAAATAATAAGTTTCAGACAAAATCTATTCGCAAGACATAGGCTTTTCTTGCGTAACGACAAGAAAATATTTTTCACTTTGAACCAACATTATGCATTTTCATGACACAAACAACAACAACAAACAATTTTGATATCCGAATTGGAGTATAAACTTCAATATCGTATTATTGTTAATAATTTTATTACAAAAACAAACACACCGACAGACTTTGAACGTAGTAGCAGAAACATAATCCTCCACTACCCTCCATTTTCCTTTCTGTCTTCATCCAACTCTTACTCTTCCTCGCTCTCCCCATCCCCTCTCGACGTTGTGCTCTTGCTTGCTTACTTCACGCGGTTTGAGCTGGCCTGATTGTCAGTCGGTCCCCGACTCTGATGCTGTAAGGAGCAGTGAACAGTTCATACCACAGATTCCTCCAGGAAGCGCGAAAGAGAACCAATGTTCTTCTTTTCGATTAAAAACGAATCATTTTGATCGCGATTACGAATGCCAGTCTGAGATCATTGTTACGATTTGACGTATTCTCTGATTCGCGATAAAAAAAATGATAAAACTTGTAAAACTTTTGAATCATGATGTTTGTAAAAACTCGCGCGAAAAAACGTATTGAAATTCGAAGCGAACGAGAGTAAGAAGAAGAGGAGAACGTAAGATCAGGCGCGAGAGAAGAGGTGTTAGTCGCAGTTAGTTCGTCGATCGTGCCCGGCACGTGCGCGTACTCAGCCCCTCGTGCCTTCGGAAGAAAGAAGGGTGCACCGGCGGAAGGAGAGCGAAGAAGGAGAGAAGAAGAAAAGAAAGCGGTCGAAGCGGAAAGTGACGGCAGTGCGGTCCGAACCGTCAGGCGAGACGCTGAAGAAGAGAGTTGAGCGAAATTGGTATTCCCGCGTTTCGCACCACGTGACTCTTTCGAGATACCCCCCTTCTCGAACGTTGTTGAATCAGATCTTTGTGAACTTGATGCCGTAATCGATAACACAAATGGATTAAGAGACAGACACATTCAAGTGCCGTGGATTCTCTGTCGTGATCGTGAGATATGATCCGCGCGAGGATGAATTCGCACCTAATGTCACACATGCTCTGAAGGTGATCGACATGAACCGCAGTGTGATCACGTGTGATGTATAGACACGAGAGATTTATTGCTTAAACGGCGACCGCGTTACTTGCACAATATCTCAGAGGATCAAAATGAAGACGACGTTTCAAGTAAGAATTGCACGTTTTGTTATAACGTACGTAGGACGTTATTGTATTTGCGAATAAAATACATCCAAAACATTAAAAACAATAATAAAGCTTGACTTGTGTAAAAATAAGCGCACGATGCAAATGTAATGTTTATTATTTGGTTCATTGCAGAAATTTGTAAACAAAAGTGCCTACAAACGATATCAGCATGTTTTACGTATCTACATATAGGCACGGATAGAAAACGTATTAGCGTATCGTGTCGTAACAGTAAAGGCGAATGTCCTTCGCTTTAATTCCTTTTTACACGCGCACAAATATATGGATGCGTCGTCGTAAGACGAGTAGCGCCGGAGCAACCCAATCCTCTTTTAACGCTCTTTGATCATCCGGAGGTTCTGCTTTCACGAGTATCCGCCGCGCGTTTCTCACCACGCACAGTACCTCCATCGACGGTGTTTTCCGCCCTTTCCCCTCTGACATCGTGTGTGCGACCGAAACCCCTCGCGTAGCCTTTAACTTTTAAGTACGATTTAACGAAAGCCCTTTGAACATTCGACCGCAAAACCTCCGGTACCGGTCGTAGATTCTTTAGGGGTTATTTGACCTCCGCCACCCTCGAAACCCTCTTTTACCCACCTCGCTTCCGTGCGCTTTTGCCTCCCCCTTCTTCTTCTCCGCGTATATACAACGATTTACCGCTGTTGCGCGCGCTCCGCTTTGATATTTTTAATCCTCTTCGCGCGCGATGAGAACGCTCGCTTCGAATGTGTACACGACGTGGTTCTTTGTGCATCGCGAAAGCGCGGAAAATAAATTCGCGACCGACATTTCAATAACCACGTATTTCTGATGAGGAATTAACATGCAGAACCGTTGTCAATTGAGATAAAATTTGTTCGGCAAATTAAAGAAACGCAATCGACAAAAAATCAATATTCATTCTTAATTAATTAAAATTAGTTGTTGCACATGTGTAGACTTTTGAGACTAATGAGCAATTAAATTTGACGTAATCGTTGCCGCTGCGCGTAGTAGCATAAATATCAACACACGGGCAACATCGTTAATTACGACGTTGATTGAATCTCGTTAGCCAAGAGGCTGCTTCGAGCGCCCGCTCGACGTCATAGGGCGACTTCCTGGACGACCGACTACGATGCGCTTGATTTGGCGCATACAATTCGCGTGACGACGCACGCGATCACGCCGCACACGATAAATCACCGTGGTAGCTAGCCGTGCAAGGATAAACCGCGAGAGCTCGCGCGATCCGCACGCGATTCTCTCCCGCAAATTTATTGTCATCTGTCACTGACACTGCAGCCTCGCGATATACATACAAGACAATGCGGACTGGTTTGAAATTAACGAAAACTTTATTTCCGCAATACCGTCGATGTGTTTTTCTAATATTTTTAGCGCAATGAGACATTTTCGAGAACTGTTGAAACTTCAGTGCAAAATGCGCATCGTGGTCACACACGCACCACATGTCCGCGTAAATTCTTCCGAATTTTCTATGGTCTATGGAAATGTTTTTATTTCTTTTTTTTTTTTTTTTAACAGCATCCTCCGTAACGCAGAAACAGAAACTCGAGGAGAATTGCAATTCCGAGAGAACGCGGAAAAAAATGGTTTTGGTTACGTGAGCCATAGATGTCGATAACAAAAATATACAAAAGGCGTTATAGACAAAATAGAGTTTTCTTTTAACGTTATATTTGTTTTTTGAATTTGAAAATATTTAACGACCTAAAGTGTTGAATTGTTCTTGCATCATATTAAATATTTATCCGGAATATTTTACGTTTGTGCTGAGTTTTATTAAATAAAAAAGAGAGAAAAGTCGTGATTATTTATCGGATATATACATAATCTTTTTAATCTTTTTTTAACGTGCATATTTAACGCGCTGCTATAAAATTGTTTCCACCTATGTATTTCATGATTTACTTATATTGTTATTTTTTAAATATGTACGAGAAGAGAAATATATTTTAATAAAATCATATTTTTAACGATCTTTGATACATTGGTCGTAAAAACGAGAGCATATAATTGCCAGCAATAATCTCTTCTTGCCTGCGCCACCTGCTGCCAAGGTTAACGTGATCGCGCGAGAATCGTGTGTGTGTCCCTTTGACACCGCGAACGGCCGCGATCGTTAATGAGCGAATATTGATCTTCCGAGCGCCGCATGACCGGACATCAAAGAGTAGACCCGAGCAACAAGTATCCCGCCGGGAGAGAGAAAGAGGGGGAGGGAGAGAGGGAACCGAAAGCCCGAGATTACAATTTAAGCCTGTTTACGTCGGGATTCCGTCTCTGTGATCTCGCGCGCCACGCATAGTCCGCGTCGATTCGGAATCCCGTCTCCTCCGGCGTTTCTCTGCTGCATCTCTTCCCGTTTTAGCCCTTTACCTCTGGTCTCTCTGGAGAGCTGGCTTTGCGCAACTCGAGATTATTTTATCCCAATGTACCCTCGCGACTCGATATTACCCCGAAATATAACGTCCGTAACGTCTCGCGAGAGTACGCGCGTGTTCCATCCCTCAAAATGGCTAAATAATAAAAGCGCGTTTTCTCTCCTTCTCTTTCTCTCTCTTTCTCTCTCTATCTATCTATCTATCTCTCGGCGTATAATATTCACTTATTTTATACGGACGAGATAAAAATACAGAGGAAGGTTTTATTACTTGTATTTTGCATACGATTACGCGCATCGTTATGCTCGCTTAAGCAAGGAGCTTAGCCCGCGTAATTAAAATAGTTTTACCGGCTGAATCCGCCGTACTTAAAGTATTGCGCGAAGTAAGAAAAAAAATATTCATAGGACGTATACTCTCGCGATAATGCACATGAATGTGCATGAATACGAAAAGCGGAGAGGAGAAGAAAGAAAATCGGCGGCGATGATGCTGACGATCGTCTGTTCTTTAATAGTACACGCTCGCGAACGAAAGAAACGCGCAAACCATCGCAGATTTTGCGATGCCATTGATCATAATAATAATACTAATAATCGCGCGAAAATGTAAGAAGACCGTGCCTCGCTCGGTCGTCATCAGTCATCTAAACGATTCGTGCGCGAGAAAGATTTTAACGTGCCAAACGATAAAATCGCATCTGTCAAAGAAACGAAACGAAGCAAAGACTAGTCAGATCGCAGCGATTTACAGGAAAACTTTTACGTTTGCCAAAGAGAAAAGAGACTTTCGGGAGAAGAGCGATAAGAAAGGAAGCGCGCGCTTCTTAGGGACGAAGAAGACGCCAGCAAGCTGGCAGAAACAATGCTCCGTTAGAGAGTAATGCCGGTTCGTCGTTCTACTACGTGCCTTTCTGTGCGGAAGCGGCGGAGACCCGACCGGACGGATAGTGGAACATTGTGCCGGTAGAAAGCAGCAATTAGTAGTAGACAGGCGTTGTTACCTCGTGTCGAGAAGGATATTCAGTTTGTAGTACTTAAGGGAATCCGGACATGAAACAAGCACCACGACGCGAGAGCGTCGTCCGTCGCTACGGAATTGATAACTGGCGCTTTCCGCAGCGTTTACGAGACGATGATTAATTACGCCAGATAATGGCCAGACGCTTAATTATATATATATATATATATATATCTTGAGATTCTTGAACATTTATTATACATTATCCGTAAAATGTCCACAACCTCCCTAAAATTAAGTAGTCAGATGTTCCGTCCTGTTCGGATGTATATGACGCACTGATTTATACAAGCAACTGTGGCATCGTGGGAATAACAATTAACACAGCAAACATGACTTTGTTAAGGACAAACTAGGTGGACGCACAGTAGTTTATACAAGCAAACCAAGACTACTCTCTCTCAGTCAGCGAACAAGCCTGTTACAAGCGACAGGGGAAATGAAGATATCCTGGCGCTATGTGGCTGACCGCGTTGACACAACAAAAGAGATTGTATAATATAAATCATTATAAATGATATCTCGTTCCGCGGTAAGAAGATACATTTTCTATGAAACGAGGTCTCGCGGATGAACCGGCGAATCGTAGTCATAACATGGCGCGGCAATTAGCGGCGGCAGTTACCGGCGGCGGGAGAAGTAGATGTGTACTCAAGAAGGCGATCCTATACGTACGTCTACTTTAGAACGACTATATTACAGGAGATGAATAACGATGACAATGTGGACACAGATGAACATAATTGTGGCTTGGATTACATAGTCCTGTGGACAATTTAATCTCGAAAACCACGAAGAGAAGTGTGAAAACATTTACACCGTAAATAATCTGTCTGCGTGCTAAGTTTACTTTACAATCGAAAGTTGACAGAAGATGAGTTAAAAATAATTATTAAAAAAATAATAGAATTTTTATATATGTGTAAACTTGTTTATTTTGCGAAAGCTCAGCTCAAAATAACTCAGCTCTAATAACTGGACTCTTAGAAAAGAGGTCGTTCACAGTTCATGTTGTTTAAGAAGATTCGTAGTAACGATAGTGACGACGAAGAACCTGACAAGCGCCTGGACCTGGACACTGATGCGAACGAGACTGACGAAGACGATCAAGATGACGGCGACAACGGCGACGTGGACGACAAGGATGGCGACGATGCTTCTGCCGTGAGGCGGTGAGCAATTAGCGACACAGCGCGGCGAGATCAGAGGCCGAGGGCGTAGTGGGGAGCGGCGGCCTAATTACACACGGTACCGACCGACTTCAAAGGAGCCGACAGTTCCTCTCCTCTCCGAGCCATCCCCTCCGAATGGCCGGCCCGAGAAAACAACGCTCCTCTTCCTCGTACACCCCAGGCAGCCGACGGAGGCCTGACTATGCTTTCGATACTCTTCCTTCTCTCGTCTCTCTTTTTCCCCCCTCCTACTCCACCCATCTCTAGGTCTACGAAAATACCCCTTGCTCTCTTTGATCGCGGAGTCACTTGCGGTGGCAGAACTTCTCGTATTATCGTGATACCGCGTATTCGCGATTCGTCTTAATTCTGATGTTAAATGACCATATTATTTATA